TTCATTTGAAAATTTATCTACTGAAAGAAAATATTATTCACTGTCTAAGATATATTTAATAAAACACTGTTTCAGTTTTCTGTGCAGTCTTCTTTAGGTGACTACAGTGAAACCTCTATCCATCGTTCCCGGAACTATTGTTTTCCCGGATGCATCGTCCGTTTTGTTCGGTCCCGAATACATCCCATATAAAATAATGTTACATTTTCCCGCTTCTATCGTTCCTCGAACTATCGTTTTATCGCATCGATCGTTCAAAAATCTTAGTCCCGGCCCACAATTTTCCCGCAATGATCGTTCCTGAGAATTTAAAATGCTGGGTTTAGAGATAAATTAATACCGAAAGACGCACAATGTTTTTGGAATAAACAGTAGCGGTAACCTGTTATGTCGCCCAACCAGCACATTCTTTTGGAATGAGGGTCAGCGGTGCAGGGGTGATAGTTGGAGTGAATGGCGGTGCCCATTGTCAGAAATTTTACGATTTTAATTAGGGTGCACTCATATTTCGTTCCAGCGATGCCAGATGGCATGTGCAGTGTGAATTTCTTCACAAATGCTTTTATTACAAGTACAAAGGAAAGGCTGGCGGCACTTTTCATTCTTCTGGTTCATCTCGTTTCCAGCGGTTCGCTTAATATTAGTGAACGTGACGAGGAAAACCTTTTGAACGTGGAAAGTGCTCTGTTTGGTCTAAAACGTAAAGTTTCAACAAACCTGTTGTCCATTAAAGACTTTTTTGGTAAAAAGAAGTAACTTTGAAAGAGAAACATTGTTTTTTTTTAAATTTTTAATGCTTTCCCGCATCTATCGTTTTCCCGCATTCATCGTTTTTATTTCCCACCCCCGCCGAAAACGATGCATCGAGGTTTCACTGTATTATCATAATGACAATCTTTGCTTTCATTTTTAATTTGGTCTGGATCAAAACTGGATCATTCTGTGTGATAAGAATACAAGTTTAGGATCCAAAAGTGATAAATGCGTTGAACACTGAAAATATAAATAATAAGGTAAGATTTTTCAGGAACTAAACCTTCACTATCCCACTTCTTAAGCAAGTAGTTGAAAGGATACATAAACCGCAGCACGCCACATGGAAATGTAAATGACCTTACCTTGATGTCAAATTGAAGGTATCTGCGTGCCATATCAGGGCTGACTAATTTTTCAATGACTTCCACAGGCACAAGAATATGACACTGATAGGCAGGACACAGGATGTGGTGAGCATCTCCATCTTGAATCTTGACTGTGAGGTAACTCTCCCAGCAGGATGTGCAGAATCGGTGATTGCACGACATGAGAACTGATCGGTCCCAACACGGCATCGCCAGCATGCAGATCTCACACTGTAAAGAGAACATTAGAGACATCAACCAGTATTTTCTGATCTTCCTGGTCCCTTCCAGGCTGGAAGACTAAAAAAATTAATAGAAGCAGAACACTTACGATACTTTCGCCATACGACTTGGTCGTGCCTTGTTGCTGGATGGTACTAGTTGGCTCTGCATTATTGTACTCCATTGTAACAGCTGATGGTTCTGAACCACAATGCTGCAACGCGGAAGTTGGAGGTTGTACACCAGCCAACTGGCAACACTGCACCGGGTCTTTCATCCATTTCTCCAGAAGAGTTTCTCGTGACCATTCTACAAACGGAAACATGTCAATGTCACTGTGAATTGGAAAACCTGAAGGGAAGTAACCACTTGGAAGACCTAGATTAAATAAAAAGATAATGCTAACAAGGAACTTATGAAAATGGGCAACAAGTACAAATTATGAAGCTCGTTATGTATTTTTTTCTGTCCTCCTGTCGATGCCTCTCTTGGGTTCAAATACTCTCCTCAGCACCCTGTTCAAAAACACCCCTATCTGTATCTTCCCTTCCAGTGACAGTGACAGCACGTTTATACTAATATGAAACACGAGCTTGGTACATACTAATCTTTTCAGATTGGAGACAGGAAAATATGAGATTCTCAACTCGACAGTCACTGTATTCTTAAAATCAGTTACTATTAATTTTATCAAATTCGCTGATGGAGAAATCGACTGACCATTGTCTCGTAACAAAGCCTCTGCAGTGAACAATGGGATGTGCAGCATGTCTGATGTCTCTACCAGCAGCTGATCCTTTGCCTCCTGAAGGTCCTGGGTTCTCAGCCCACTGTATACCTCCTCCTGTTCTCCTGGGCCATACAATTCAGCTTCATTTATAGTGTCACTACTGTCAGCCTGTAAAAAAATTGAAATCATATACAATTGCTTCACAACAAAACAGTATAATTATTCTTATTCCAGGTTTTACAATGCGAGATTTGAGGTTTCCATGGTGGCAAGTATGAAGACGGCTGTCTTCTGGTTTGTTGTGCTGAATAGTCTGGTAAAAGTTTACCAATGTTTCAAAGGTTCTTGATGCTTCTATCACCAACCTGATGATGGAAAATGCAAGCACCTCTAAGGTTCTACAAGACCATTTGGTGCAACAACCCAGAAGACAGACATCTTCTAATACACACAAGATCATAAAATGTAATGTGATAATATCATTTAGAGGAATAAAAAAAATCATAAAACCCAGATTGACACCAAAACATTTGGTGAGGGAATTAGACAGGGTAACTCTGTAATGGTTGTTCAGTATTGGCATGCTTTTGAGAATGTGGTAATAAAACCTCAAATTCAATAAGAGGGGAGAATTTCTTGAGCTCCTAAGCAATTCATAGCTTTTCATGAGTGTATTACTTTCTGGTAGATGATCCAACCAACCAATGCAATCTTATGGCAAGAGTGGTACTACAGTGTGCAACATATGATAGCATACACTCACGATGGACAATGTGCTATAAGTTCTTACCATGAGTCAAAGGAAAAGAAGAAATGTATATCTTAATATATTACATTAAATCCACCAGCAATGGCTAGAGTGCACATGTATTATATAACTGGTACTGTTATGGGGTGGTGATTCTGGAAGGATAATTTTCAGAAGGTCCCGGAAACGAAGCAAAGTCCAAAATATCTTGAACAAAATATTAAAATTTTCTAACAAAGTTGTTTAAAACGAAGATTAATGTGTTGTGTTGAATTATTGCTGCTACTCTCTTCCAAGTATAAGATTACAATCTGCCAGCAATGCCACTAATCAAAACAGTATGTTTGGAAACAAAAGAAAAGAACTAAGCCATACATTAAGGCCATGCCACAACTTGGGCGGTTAGTCATTGGCTTCTCACCATGGTAACCCTGGTTTTCACCCAGGTCAGTCAAGAGGGATGTGTGGTGGACAAAGTGGCACTGGAACAAGTTTTTCTCAGAGTTCTTTGGTTTTCCCCTCTCAGTATCATTCCATTGCCGCTCCATATTCATTCATGTATCATCTGAGGAGTGGACAACTGGCCCGATAGTGGCCACAGTTCTACTGAGACATAGTCTCACCCCCTCAAAACAATAATAAAAACAAGACATACATTATTCGTACAGGTATGTCTGCAGTTAATTAATAGCTTTTATCAACTGTGCACTGTGGTTTATGCACAGTCCAGGTGGCTGTGTCACACTAGCATACCACTAAACCATTACTTCCAAGAGTCAAAATCTCAGAGCAAATTATTTGGAGATTATACAAGGAACTCAATAATTCAATCCTCAAATTCATTCTTCTTAAAATAATGAAGGTAGATGAAAAGTAGCCATTATGTCAGTATAAAACATCACACTATTTCACCAGTGAATTATCTACTCCAATGTACTTACAAAAACCATCCTAGACTCAAGGAGCTGAGCAATGTCATGGTGGTTGCTCCGCATAGCCATATCACAAGGTGTAAACTTGTCATGGTTCTCGATGAAGAGAGGAGAACCGTGGTTCAGAAGCAGTTCCACGCAGCGCTTCAAGCCTGATGTGGCAGCACAATGCAACGCAGTGTTGCCTTTCTGTCATCCAGCAAACAAGCATTCATCACCAGTGAAAATAGAAGTGAATTACGTGTGTTGTAACAAGACTGTAAGTACAATACTGTCACCTGTCATAGCTATTTAACACCTCTATAACTTATTCCATGCAAATCAGATTATACCTTTGAAAAAGCACTCTACTGTTAAAAATAAAAAGCTTTAAACTGTGAATTCTTAGACATTTCAATCTCAAAATGATAAATGCATTTTATCCACTTACATCTAATCATATTTCAACTTAAAAATCAATCATTAAATGTATTTCATTTTTGCTCAGTCCATACTTACACAATGGCATAAATTAATTTTTCATGAATGCTATGTGTACATTCTTTCCATTCTAACCCATACTGGAGAAATAATAAAATTTCTAAGCCTGAAGAGGGCTAAATTATCATCCCATCATATTTCGTGGCTACAATGCAATGTAGTCTGTTTGGTGTCAGAATATTCTTCCAATAAGGAAATAAGGAAATTTTAAAAAAAAGAGCATTTTTAACAACCTTAATCATTATTCATGCCCGTGTGAAATAATTATTGATCATTTGCAATTTGTAAATTAAAAAATATAGGTAAAATTCTCTTGGCTCTAAATTCCTTGTCTATCATAAATGTGATACAAAATTAATTATCCATTCCAAATATAAAAGAAAATTAGCTACAAAGGTTAACATTATATAAAATTAAGAAATCGCAAATCCGAGCATTTACAGCCAGGGCAAAACATCATGAACACACACTACTAATATACAGGATGAACTAAATACCACATTGATAAAAGCCATAATGTAAATAAAAACATATCATTGTCCTTTATCGTCATGTTCTTACCTTCTCAAGTGGTCTGATTCTTCTGCTTTCCACTGATTTCAATAAAAATTTCTTAATTACAAATACAAAAGAACAGCAACTCATGCAAGCAAAAGAATCATTTTTCTAAAGCAAATTACACATCCAGACAACACTACAACCAATATATAAAAAGAAGCATCAATCCTATACACATATATACAAATCATGTGACCAAACATTCAAATGTAACTATAAAAAAATATTATGTTGTCATCAATACATTGAAAATAAAACATTAGCTGAAGTGCGACATAAAAACCACAGTTTTTAAAAATAAAATAAGAAAGTTTTTGAACACTGCTTTGCTTTAACATAATACCAAGCACACACCACAAACAATCATTGCCCCTCGCAATTTTCAAGGCTTACCTGGTCCTGAGCCTGAAGGTCGACACGTTCCCGCCCCCCACTGTTAAGGGGAACCCCCCTCCACTGCAGCAGAAGTGCCACACACGCTGCACGTCGCTCCTGAGCTGAGAAAGACTTCTGCTGACTCAACTGGCATGCTGCGTGCAGCGATGTTTCATTGCAAGCATTCTTCTTGTTTGGATTACCACCCAGGTCATTCAAAAATGTCCTGGTGCAATATATAAAAGCATGACCACCTAAACCCAAGCTTCGTCACTTAGCAATATGGCTGGACAAACTGAACTGAACTATATACTAAAATATCATTATGGATTAGCAGGTTACTTTATGTAAGATTTAATGTTTTCACAGCATGAGTATGAAGATTTCTATCTTCTGGGTTGTTGCGTTGTGAAGTCTGGTCGATGTTTACCGACATTTCAGAGGTCATACTGCCTCCGTTGGTTAACATCGACCAGACTTCACAGCGCAACAACCCAGAAGACAGAAATCTTCAGGTTACTTTATAATGTTAATTCTTTCACTTTGGATTCTGCAAAAACCTACACTGTCTGATATATATTTAAAAAAAAAAAACATTTAGGACCACAAATAGGAGGAAATTTTAACCTTGACCCTGCATCCTCATAATATAAGATGTACAGAATAGTAAATTTGTGTGCACTGCGTAGTCAATCTAGGCATCTTTAACATAACCCATGTCAATGTCAATAAACACAACTTGGTACTAGTAATACTGAATGCATATTACATTATCATATACCATAGCAACCAACATGGCTTGCATTTTGCACACTGTTGTCTTTCTATTTCCTTCTATCAAGCTGTAACTTATTTAAATAATAGCTCTGTTCAATCAGATGTTCTGTTACATCATAATACTGTAAGGGTTAACATTTATTGGCTTAAGTCTCTTCCTTTCCAACTGTTACAAATTAAATCCTGCATATGGAACTAAAACTACATCACTCTTATTCAAAGACCAACCAAGTGCCAAGTCGGCATATGGAACTGTAAGTCTAATGCATTATCAAACGTTAACTAGTCAGAAAAACCCTGAATTTCTTCACTCAACTTTAAGCCTCAATAAAATACGACTGTACTACATTAATGTAAGAATTGGGGTAGCTTAGTTACCTAAGAAGATGTTTCATGCCATGTCTAGCAGCATAATGCAGTGCTGTATTATGATGATGGCTATCTCCATAACTGAGATTAGGATCCAAGTTCTTCCGCAGTTCTGGAGAACTTTGGAATACCTACAAAGAAATTCATAATCTTTATGTTGTAACAAGGTCTAGGAAGAACTTATAACATCTACTTTCCTTTAAATGTATCAATCTGTATGACAAGAGTAAATTAAACTATAAACCATTTGAAGCAAATGCTCATTTTAATGACATTTAAATATTCAGTCCCTACCTCAAAGAAAACACATTGCATATTCATTATACAAAGATCAAATAATAAACGATTTTTAATTACAGAAATAATCATATTTATGCTCAGAATCAAGGAAACTTTTTGGTGTTTTGACCTTTCTAAAATATCTTCCTGCTTTCAAAGCATAAGCACGTCATGTTTGGGACAACTCAGTGTATCCCTTCTCAAGTTGTAAGTAAACATACATGCAGACCTGTAATTTCAATTTCATATTTTAGAAGGCAGTTAACCCTCAATAAAGCAGGTGTAAATATCCAACATGTTAAAGCATTTTAACAGATATTAGCACAAAGGGGTGCTGGCAAATATTTTTAATGTTTAATAAAAACAGCAGAAAAAAAGATGAGAATAAACTATCACAATTTTCTAACGAATGTTATACATTTCAGATATGAAAGTAGTTAGAAAATGATGTGTTGCAATCTGCATCTCACTTGTTTTTAAAACTGTAGCTTTGATTACAACTGAATTCATAATATGATATGATTATTAGGATATAAAAAATTGTAACTGTATAAAAAATGGTTAAACAGTATTCACATGCATGACTTACATGAAACATCAAAACACTGAAAATCCACGATGAAACTCCTGCAACAAATATACCTGCATTGCTGCAAATTCATCTCCATGTTGGAGATATTTCTTGAATTTAGAGGAAGCACTACCCATGATGGGACAACCCGATGCAAAGCCACACTTGACAGGACTGTTATACTGGTCCAGTCAGCGGCTGCAGAACACTTGGCGTCAAGAGATCAGCCCTGTTCCAGAAAACAATTGCAACTTTTGTTCATTTTATTAATACAGATAAGGTAAAAATATAACTAATTATCTCACTGATAATATAATGTGATGGTTCAACACTGCTATAATCAAAGACTAGCTTAGTATATTACTTCACATCCTTGCTATCCCCTATAAAAAACAGACAACCCAAAAATAAACATTAATGAGTTTGAAATAAAGAGTAAGAACAAATTAAATGTACACAGGCATAAATAAATTTAAGAAGGGATACCAACCTAGGGCTTGGTAAAAAATTAAAATGGTGATATGCTTCCCACACTGTTTTGAATATGTGATAGAATTACTTCTGTAAGCTATTACTGTGTCCCCGGAGTTAACAATTCTAGGCATACATACAGCTGAGCCTTTAATATTTGAATATAGTTCTTACAAGGCTGAAACTGATTTTAAAATATTGAAAAGCTGTAAATCATCGGAAATAGGAGCCTTGTACCTTAACCCCACACAGCCAAGTTCTCTTAAAAGAATGTAATTAAACACTCTCTACTGTAGAAGTTAACATATTGCCATAGCTCAGGCAGTTGGTTGGTCTTCTCACCATGAAGGCCTGGCTTCATGCCCAGGGCAGTCCATGTGGGATTTGTGGTCGACAAAGTGACCCTGTGACAGGTTTTTCTCAGAGTTCTTCGGTTTTCCCCTGTCAATATCATTCCACCGCAGCTCCACATTCACTCATGTATCATCTGGGGGATGGACAATGGGCCTGTTAGCAGCTGCAGTTCCATAGACACATTGTCTCCCACTTCAAAACAATAATAATTTACCTACATTTCTAGCACATCATACCCTCTTTGACTTATCTTGGGCAGCTGTACAGATCACCAAGTATCTCGTTATATAGGGCTACTATTACCCATTTGCTTGGTGTATCCAAATTTTCCTTCACTTTCATCTTAAATCAATGTACTCTTCCACTCTATGGTTTATAAGTGATGAAAAGTCTTTATTATACAATAAGATACTGATCCTCTAAGTATATTTGAGCGCAGTGACCATACAGACAGTCACAGCTAGTGAAATGTTAAGTTTTACTGAATGAAACAAATTGCCTTCTGATAATATGATACATGACGCTTGTGACATGTTACACAACAATAAACCATCACACACTAAACATCCCCTTCTGTATTAATTACATTAGCAGGATGTGATTAAGACTGTGACCTTACATTACAAAACAAAAACAATATGGCCAGGCTTGCTACAAAAATATAAATGCCCTACTCCATATAATAAATAGTATGGGTTTCTGCTACATGTACTATTCACCACATCTAGGAGAATTAAGGAATTAAAAAATAAACGAAGACACAGAAAACATATGATCTCAGCAAAATGCAATGTCAGCATTGCTAACTTACATTATTACCAAATAATATCACATAACCCTTCAAAGTTAAACGTCATTTGAATAATATTTAAAATTCAGTCCAATCCTTAAAGCAAACACATATATCCATTAATAAGATTGACTAGTTAATGCTGTTTCAGGGCTTAATCACTGTTCATTCTGAGTATCATACAAAAAACATAAATACACTCTGTAAAGAAAATTCAATTACTTAATATTAAAGGACATGATATATATAGTTACCACTGGGCTTTAAAGGGTTAATCAGTCAATGTCCAATGTGCAATTAATTTATAGAAAGAAAACATATTGCTCACTTCTCGGTTATACACTAAGACTTCCCTCTTATCAACCACTGCAACATTCAACATTATGCAATGTGTGCACTAACAATAACCTCCAAAAATAGCATAAACATATATGATGTAAAATTTGTGGGAGGACATGCGTTAACTTATGCTTACCAGTTGTATCACAAAACAAACATAATATAAAATTATCTTAACTTACACTATAACCCAATTTGGACTCATTTACGATTTCTAAGCATGTATAGATGCAAGCAACAATATTAGATCACACTAATACAACAAAATGGTGGACCCTGTACAAACCAGAGATCTGGAACATGGATGGAACAAAATGTGTAAGGACCTACTATAAATTACTATCCCAGTGGTATCTGCCTGGAGGCTGTACTACTTAGAATAGAAAATTCCTGCCTGGCCAGAATGCAAAGCGAATGCCTTCCAAATGATGATGTTTGGGTTGACTGTCCAGACTAATAAACTAGGAAAGGATTCACCTATTTAGTAATATGTCAAACTGACCGTAGTTTTGTCCTTCGATGCACTTTGATCGCAGATGAACACAAAAGGAACAGCAGTGAGTAGTCAACTCTAATAGCAAATAACGATGGGGAAACACTTGCTCTAGTTCAGAAGACACCATCATCTGGAGTTATCCTGTAAAAGCATAACATAAACATTAAATACCAACAATAAAATTAAAACCATACTATCCACATTTAAAGACAGCATTTATTTATATTTCTTCTTTTCTAGGCTAACAACAACTTTTCCTCTCTGAAGTGTGACCTTACAGAACTTCTACTTTCAGGTTAATTATTTCTTGATAAGCATATCTCCTGTCACATTAGCATGACATCTCACAGATTAAATATCCCCCAGTTATGGAGAGTAACTGTAAATACATAGAAAAAGCAGTCCTGGACTGTCAGCAAGGAAGTGGTCCTCTAGCTTGGGCAAACAACTCCCCACCATAAAATTCCAGCATATTATACATGCTCTTGGAAGAAAGCAGGTTCTTGTGAACACAGGATCAGGGTCACACAAAAACAGTGAATTTCTTGACTAGTGGAGTGACTATTAGATTCTCAACAACTCTTAGTCTATATAGTTATCATTTTCGATAATCCTTTCAAAGTCTTGTATTAAACATTATTGTGTCACTCATACATTCTTTTGTTTCCCCACTCTATGATCTCCTGTACCCATATTGATAGCTGATGTCTCAACTTACTTACTACATAGGCAAGCCTCATTTTACTTAGTATGCTCATTTACACCTTTTCCAGCATTTGTTTTGTTTTTTGCAATATATGAATTTGTTTCTGCTGTATTTGTCATTATAGGCATAATGACACAAATTTGTCTTATCTCCCTTGATAGATATTTATTTTGAAAGCATCCAAGTATTCTGGTTGCCTCATGTGTTTGACATATGATTTCTGCTTGTAGCCCTCCACACACATGCACACAAAAACTGATGATGTCAGTCTTGCGCCTTCATTCATGATTATAAACATACTTACTTTTTTAGGAAAGTCATCCTGCAGCACATCTAATATTTTAAATAATATTACAATTTTGATACTACTAAAAGAATAAAGAAATTTTTCATTTGCCACTTCACTTGTCCATCATGTGGAAACAGGGTGAAAACATACTAGAAAATATGCCTCAATTTAACTAGAACTGAAACTGTATCAGCTACAGTTCCTGGAACCTTGAAAATCTTGCTCAAACATGGCATACAGCCGTTATTTCCTACAATATACGCCCAAAACAGGTGCATGCACATGGTATTATTTCGACTTTTGACAACAGCTTAAATATTTGACAGACGGCTAATTGCTAGTTTCAAGGTAGTACAGTCACAATCAAAGCATGATAATTTTAAAACCCACGTTTTAAATCGGAATTCAAACAATAAACACACACATCACTTTCCACTTTTTGCATCTTCATAATAATATATTTGACAAATGCTTCACCTGCATTGTGGAATGATCATGGGATAAATTCAAGACCCCCCACGAAGACGGATCTCAACACTTCAATGAAACCAATATATTAAAATAATTAGAAATATTACTTACACAATGAATTTTCTAAAACTCTCGATGTCTTCATGTTAATGGACACTTGCTTACTTATATTTTACTTACAATAACATTACAGAAATACCTTTCCCGTTTGGGTTTCTACGATCGATTTCTCATGCACCTAACAAGATAACAGAAAGAAGGCGCGGGCGCGCAACCATAGTTAGCAGACGATGCGAGGCGAATATTCACGAGCACGATCGGTATCACAGATAACTAATCAGATGAACACGCTCAAAGGCGGCGTATCACCGTGGTGGCAGAATAAAAGAAACTGAACTGTTCGCACGTCATCTTTGAACCTACAGTAGCGCCCTTTTTGAAGCTCCAGGCCGGTCACGAAATTTTTTGATTCGCATTATCATACCCGGCCTGAGAGACCCCTACTAGTACCTAATTTATGGTGTGTTCTAGAATTTAAGATATCTGATGAACATTATTCGGATATAGAATGTTTCATAAGTGCGTACTGTAACACTAAGAAATGTACTGTTCCACGCCTATACACAAGAAATGTGAAAGGGGCAATAAAGTAATTATTACGGCCTGACCACAGTGGTCTACAGAACTATGATTACGGGCATGACAAGCCAGATTAATGGGTATGGCCATAATAATGGTTATATAGAGGCCTCGATCTGAAACCATTTTACGACTTGATACAAGCCTCCATGGTAGGCCATTATGATGGACAAAAGCAGCAGATACCAAAGCATTCTGATGGATATGTAGGAGCCTCAATCCGAAACCTGTCATAGCTAGCTATGTGCATCGATCCCAGGACAGTTTAATGGTTAGTGACCTTTCCAAGATATTCCAACTGTTGGATAGGGTCCTCAATCACAAACCATTGCATATTATGCAGGGATTAAAATTTTCAACAGTCTACCATCAAATCTCACAAGTCTTGTAAATAAAAAGGCACAATTTGAACTAGCATTAAAAAGATACTTAATTACACACTTCTTTTACCCTGTTGATGAATTTCTAATGTTTACAAGTAAGTCATAATTTATCTATTGTATATAATGGGTGGATTTATTTGTAACTTATCTCTACTTTAGGTGAACACTTTGTTTGTATTTGTGACATTTATATAATAGTATGACTTGTATTTTTATAACATGTATTGTATTATTATGACTTATTCTACATCCTATTGTCATCTGACTAACTTATGGATCCATGGAATGTAATAAATATGTATGTATGTAACAGCTAGACACTGTATGGCCTGATACAGACCTTGGTGCCAAAATATTTTAATGGCTAGATAAGGGCGTCGATCCCGTAACATTATAATGGCTAGACAGGGATGCAATCGCAGGCATTTGTATAAGCAGGTAATTGTGTTAAGTTACTATACGAATCATATGGGCTACTCTACTGACTTAGAAGGCTACCATCCTAGTCATTTCAGAGGCTGCTATTCGATCCATTTGGGCAGCTAAAAGTCTGGTTATTACACAGTGGGCCATCTTTCTGCTCATTATATAGGATACTCTAGTAGCCACATGAGGAGCTATCATTCTGGTCATTATATTGGCTACTACATCATCATTGAAATCTTCACATCGGCTATACAGAGGTCTACCAAAGTGATAAAAAAGGGCAAAAAAGTTGGTACTACTTTAAGTTCAAGAGGAAAATAGTGTAGCTGTATAGTTGGATGTTAAAAAGGCAGCAGTCTGTCCTTTAGAAGTATAACAAGGCAATTCGATTGGTTGTAATGTGAGATTTTATGGGATGAATCTTGTTATGGGAGATGCAAGAGCCGATTTTTATTCCTACATTATATGAAGGTTGATGTCGTAACCATACTGGATGCATTATGCAAAGTCGAGATTGAAGTATACTGCTTGTCTTCTGGGAAGTAAATGTGGCACTTTCTTCTAGGAATTTTGCTTCTAAGAACAAAAACACTGAAAATAGAAAGACAAATCCCTTTTCTCACCAAAAATGGTGAAACAATCAAAGAATAGGCTGTGTAATTTTTCTGATTCTTGGTACACAACTAAACTTAAAGGCTTTTTCACTGCCACGGTGGTCTAGCGGTTAGAATGCTAGGCTTGTAATCCTGGGGTCCCGGGTTCGATTCCCGGCAGTGCCCGAATTTATAACTTGTGTCGGGCAAGGCCGTGGTCTAGGCAACACGGAGTTTTCCTCCGGGGGCTTCCCCGGTTTCTCCGTGTCATCCCAACAATTACTCTACTTTCATCATCATCTCGCAAAAGGGGGGTCACAGCAGGAGCGTTAAATGTTGTGGTCCTGGTCGAACTCATGTACTGATGGTCGTGAATCCTGCTAACCACCAATGCACACTGTACTGGACATGGGAAAAAAAAGGCTTTTTCAACAATTTGAACTTCTGTGACTCCATGATAGACGTTTTCACTGAAAAAAAATAACTGGCACATGAAACTGAAGTAAAGAAGTTATAAAAGAGGGGAAGCTCAGTACCAAACCATTTTTTCTTAGTCTAATCTTCCTTCCTCTGGCTGTGTAAACAGCTATACATTATATGCTTGCCATTTTATTTTTAATTTTTACTGTAATGTTACAAATTACTCGCACACAATACATAGCTCAGGGTGAAGAAGAAGAAGAAGTTTCCTTAATATTAAAGTTCATCTGACAGCAGATATTTACAAAACACTGCTTTAGACATAAGCACAAGCCAAGGAAAAACCAGCGTCCAACCGGTTGGCGGCATGAAAGCTCGCCATGAACATGTTTCACAGGATGTCTACCTCTCGCAGAAGAAAAGGTGGTAGTCTGAAAATCAAACACAAAGAAGCGTGGTATTGTTTAAGTGCGTTAATCCCGCAGAACACTGACTGGTGTTTAGTTGTGCTGCTCTGGACACTTAACCCCCAAAAAAATCACAGCAGATACTGGACAGGAAGCTGGTCTGGATGTTGCAGGTGAAGAGAAGAATCCTGACCCGTCAGAATTCAAACCCTGGTCGTCCACCTCTTAGCCTAGTCACTATCACTGACCGATCCAGGCATGAATCTACATAAGTCTGTCACTTCTTTTTTTTGCCAAAATGCATCTTAATATCTCACATGTAAATTTCCTGACATATCTCAGTTCTTTAGACAACTGGGCACTCCTTGAAAGGACATCATGTTCCTCTGCCTAAAGCAATATAACTTATGTACAGGTTAGCAGACTGTGTCATAGTTCGTGTCGTCGTCGGGGCTGGAAGGATTTGAGGATGACAATGTTCCCGAGAATGTTCCATCACTTCCACCTTCCAGCTGAACGTAATAATAGTCTTCCCTTACTCGCTCAGAACTTGTCTTCAGATAGTAGTACTTCGGCTTTATCCTACCGTTTTCTTTGGTATCACATTCACAAATCTCGGCATAAATATTCTCTTCCTCGCACTTATCAATGTCCCCTACAGCATCAGCAACATGACTATACGGAAGATCATCCACTATAGAAGGAAGATCACGATTCTGGATGCTACAGTACAGCTGAGGTACTGTCGTATTTTTAGCCTCAGGGTCGTTACGGTCACTGTACGAGCATTCATGAAGTCGTGATTCGTTTTTGTGACGACAGATGGAGGAAGCAGTAAAACTATGTAGAACCCTTTCGGCATCACGTGTTTCTTGCGTACATAATTCCGTTCGTTGCTGAGAGATGGCGTTCCTATAATTACATTGTGATGCTACCGAAAGGTCGCGTGTTGTTGAATTTGCTGCTCTAGACGAAGAAGGTGTATAAGTAAAGGATGATGATTTTTTTGTCGTTCGTCGTGACTTGTTCTTGGTTTTTCTCATTTTTTCTTGGCCTTCTTGAGTCGCTTGTTGCTGGGTCGTTGACTTCTTTCCCGCTGGTTCGGCTGCCACATCTCTTTGCGATGGGAAGATGTGATGGGTGACTTTTATCTGGCGCCGCCAAAAGTCGCCTCGATCGCGACAAAAAGCTAATGCTGTCTGCAGAAGTGGAGATTTGAATAGACGGGACTCAACCTCATGATGGAATAACGGTCTTGAAAGGAAGAAACGGGAATCAGCATCCATCTCCAGCAATTTCGGTTGAGATGACGTCACTGAACTGGTATTGGCGAAATGGTTACTTCCGGTCCTTGAGATTGTGATAGTATCATGGGGCAGCGTGCACGCCAAGATCACGTCTTCTTCTTGGAAGGCTTCCAACAATAAACTACCTGTAACGTTAAAAACAAATGTTTGATAGACCCAGCAAATGGAGGGGAAATGAGGTGGGGGTGGACCTCGGAGTCAGTAAGATGGCGTCCGTTCGTGATGAAGCCCAATGCGTCACATTTTTGGTCGAGTTCAAGTCCATTGCCCCACCGAATGTTAAAGCAAGAATCACAATGTACACCACGGCCTCTGGAAGAGGCTGTTGAATGCATAATTTTGCACTACAGATTATATATGTTTAAAATAACGGAATATCGAAATCATAGATGCAAAATCATAATTTGTTGTTGCAACAGAAAGCAAAGGAAGATGTGCTAACCTGTGAAGCCGACGGGGAGTGGGGCGGGTTGTGGCCCTGACACGAGATGGACCTTCGCGGGGAGTCTGTTGTCCCGCAGCAGTTGTGGCAACAGGTACAACGGAGCATGCGCGGCTTCGACACCAGCGCGACCCACGGACACCTCGAAAAACTGCCCCGTGGTGCTGAGTGGCACAAACACCATCTGCAGTAAGAACAAGACGCGGTATTACATATCTCCCAAGATGTGGAGATTAACAGCTCGGCAGCAAACGGGAAAACCAATTGTAAAGCATGAGAGAATGTGAATAGGAACATAACACAAGAAAGATCTAAGAGGATGGACAACGGAGAAGTTACAAAATAATCAATTATTAAACTGTAGCAAATCTAAAACTTCTTGACGATGGTGAAGAGTCAATTGAATAAAAATTTCCTTGGATATTATCCATCGTCTAGTAAATATAAAACGTAAAACGACGTTTCGGAGATGGGACTCTATCTCCGTCTTCAGGTTCCTACACAGTTGGGCCCACTAGATAGAGCTAATCCCTATCTCCGGACCTTGAATAAAAAATTTCTTGGATATTATCCATCGTCTAGTAAATATGAAACGTAAAACGACGTTTCGGAGATGGGATCCCGATCTCTGGAGATAGGGATTAGCTCTATCTAGTGGGCCCAACTGTGTAGGAACCTGAAGACGGAGATAGAGTCCCATCTCCGAAACGTCGTTTTACGTTTTATATTTACTAGACGATGGATAATATCCAAGGACATTTTTATTCAATTGTCTATTAAACTGTAGATTCAGCCCTGAAGACAATGGCAGTATGAAACGCGTTGTCTGCTTACAAGCCGTGAGAACCTCAAATCTCACGTAATTAGTTACTTGGCCGTAATAAAAACTAATCTATTTTATCCCTCTAGTCTGTCAATGAATATTTACTGCTACTAGGTTTATCACCTGATTCTTGTGGTTAAGACACTGAGCGTATCTCGTGTTACTATGACTTCGTCCAATCAGAGGAAGGGATAATCTTTTGTTGCTCAAACCGTTGTTCTGGGTACTGCTAACATCCTCAAACACCGCTAGCAGTTTCAGAATGTGTCCAGCTGGTATGATGGTCTTTGTGTATTGCAAGCGCTTCCTTACTGATTCGTGGATTACATCTGAAGAAGAAAGAAACCTCGAATAATATAACCAAAATGTAAATATGTCAGCTTAATTTTACTGTGCTATATAATTGGAGCGGGCTGCGGATGAATACATAGCTTGCGCGTACAAGAAATAGGAGAAATGAGTCATTAAATTATTATACAGAACAATTATTACGAAACTTTATAAAGAAGTTTTGTGTCGACAAGAACCTTATTTTGCTCCTGGTATTAATAAGACAAAACACTCGATTACTTTAGTTTAAGATTATGCAAAACAAATGAAGCTCTCAATCCGAAGATGTTTACATAACGAACTATATTTTGTTCCCACAAGTAAAAACTATTATCATTTACCACAGAAGCGTTTGACACAACTAGAATTTTGTAGCATATCAAACAAGCTGTCATTACCTCTGTTGTCGTTGAGTTTGTAAGCTGCGACCTCTAACTTTGTTAGAAATCGCGTGATTTTTGATGTTATTAGCTGCTGAACAGTGGAGTAACACTGTGCGACCAACTGTCCTTGCGGTGTCAGAAGGGAGAACCAACCTGGGAAAGAGAACACGCTATTTACACATATTTGAAATATGTGACTAAATTTCCAACATCAGATTCAAGAATCTTGATTTCCAGGTGAATTTCAACAGTCATTTTGCTTGTTAACATTGTTAATAGCCCTTGCGGGCTTACGAAATATGTATACGAACTTATTAAATTATTCTTTGAGCCTCTAGATTAGAACGCTGGCCTTGTAATCCTGGGGTCTCGGGTTCGATTCCCGGCGGTGCCCGAATTTATAACTTCTGTTGGGCAAGGTCGTGGTCTAGGCAACACGGAGTTTTCCTCCGGGGGCTTCCGCGGTTTCTCCGTGGCATCCCAACAATTACTCCATTCACACACACAGAAGAAGGCAATGGCAAACCACTTCTGGATCATATGCCAAGAACGTATATGAACAGGTCCCAGTCCGAGAAAAGGATGGAAGGATCCTGTTCATATGGACCTGTCGTCAGACAGAATACTAAATAATAATAACTAGATTAATGTTACCAGTACGAACAAAATCAATGACTTTCGAAATTCACCTAAAACATCCTTAACCAACTGATCATTGCAACAGTGAAGTGTTGTGTCTTCTTTGCGGTACGGACTAAATTCTTCGAACAGTAACCTCAATCTTTTAGTTAAGGAGAAAATGCCAACAAAACCAAAACAAATTCGTGACACCAGACACGCACTTTGGAATTTTAATTAAGTCACATTTATTTAATGAAGCATGTGAGCTGAATCCATTGTCAAATTGTTTCATGGGCGATCAGTGGGTTGTGAACGCCCCTGAAAATAGATGCATCTGTGACTGTGTATCAAAATGTAGTCTTTTAAATTTGTTTTTCAAAATGTCCCTGGAATGCATTTCTTAGCTACTGCGGCTATAAGAAGTAAAGTTGTGGATCAAACAATAGATTAGTTCCGGGTATTGAACCCGGTGGTGTCCGTGAACAGCTCCTGATTACAGTAACGGTAAAGCTTTGTTGTCACCTTCAGCATGCTGGGGGTCGAAGGGTCACAGCTCGAAGCTTTAAGCTGCATTCGCACGAACGGTCCCAGTTCAATTTCCGAAATAGTCTCATCCGTTTTTTTTTTCTAAGTTATTTTCTAGATGTACCAGCCGGTTGCGTCAGCGTGGTAAAACTGGCGGACCGCGAACCACAGCCAACCCGAGACCAATTGTAACCAAACCCCTAAAATTACTCATTACTAATTTGTTATTAGTTACGATAAGCTCATTTGTTTATTTTCTTCGAAGGATTTGAAAAAAAAAGTCGCAATCCTTATACTGTCTCTTGTTTTATGTACACGTAAGGGTAAGGAGGACATTTTTGTGTCCAATAATCTCCGAGCTCGTGAATACAGAACGAAAATCAAACTTGTGATACTGAGATTTCAAGTTTTCACGGCGGTGAATATGGAGATGTTTCAAAGGTGATTACTGCTTCCATCATTAGGGCACGTTTAAAACATCGGTAAGCAAATGGCAGGCTATGACAAGTAGGTACGTGTAGATGACTGAACAGTCATTTGTTTGAGTAGTAAATAGAAATCAAAAGTATCTATGTAATAAACTAAATTTCAGCGTTTGGAAAATTACCGTTCGCATTTCTTCACGCGCATAATAGAATCCGCATTTGAGGAGGGTTTTTCTGTAATCAGCTTTATCATTTGCATTCTTCCGAAAATATTATTAGAATGTCATGGAGGATGAGATAGACGGGGCATTTAGGACGCATAGGAGATGCGATAAATCGGTCGAAAAACCAGAACGAACGAGAAACCAGAAAGAGTTAAGACATAGATTCGAGTATAATATTAAAATGGATCATCACTTTTTCAAGCGGGGCTCTATTCCATGGAGTTAATTACGTAACAACAAGGCCTACAAGCGAAAATTTATGTCTCTGTACGCCTATTGCTGATGGACTAGTCAATACAATTTTTGACAATGCAATGCAGTAGTCGTGGGTTCAGTGCTGATAAGATATTAGGGCTGAATGTAGTGGGGGGGGAAACACGCAAAGAATGCTATGCTGTTGCATACGCCTCGCGTTGTGGTCACTGACCACAACGCGAGCGTGGTAGAGCTTCCATTCACAAAGATATGACTCTGTCAGAGATGCAAATCAATTCTAACACTTCCAGTGCAGAAGGGAAGCTCCTACCTATTTCCCACATAATACCGAATGAATTTTCGAAAGATTCACTCCTTCCAGCCCTTTTTTCATCACGGGACTGCGTCGGTAGGACTATATTTCATGGTAACCGCTGTCAAAAACGTCTGTGAAACATTGGCATAAACCGGACAGGTGTGTACTAATCTTTGCTTTTCCCATGTGGATAACCGGCTTTGTGATTAAGTCGAAAAACATTAAAACATCAGTATTCATGTAATGCAATGCGATGCGATAACCTTGGTAATGGAAAGAGAATGAAAGAAATGTGGGAGGGTTAAGGGCCTGAATTCTCATTATTAAGTCATTACCTTTCAACAAGTTGATTGACCAGTTAACTGTGAAGTCGCAATGATGTATCTCGGACAGGAATGTTTTCTGCGTAGGGGTCGGGTAAAAGTGACCGGACAGCACAAACTCAGAGGCTCGCGACGGCCATCACAAACCTAGTAGGTCCCTCGGGAACTCGGGTATCACCGCGATTACACTAGAATTCACGGAGTGAAAGTTGTTCCTTGCAACTTTGCACATCTCACTGACGTCGGTGTTCCTTAATCGAAAAATCACGGCGGTGAATATGTTGATGGATGTCTTCCGGATTGTTGCGCTCTCTAGTCTGGTAGCAGTTTACCGACGTTTCAGAGACAATTTGTTGCCAAGTCATCAAAAGCCGTCTAGCTATTATCGAGTTTATATATACGGACGGATTGGCAGGCACTAACCAAGTTCTTTATAATGTTTTTTTTTTACAAAGGCTGTACAGAACGAAACCAGCAACTGGCTGTTAGTCGGTTAATGCACAAAATAAATCGTGGTAGCGCTGTATTTTCATACCAGCCGTTTGGAAGAAAGCCAGGACATGAGATTTTTAACAGACTGTACGGACTGAATAACAAAAAAATTGTGAAATAATATTGATAGGGGAAATCCGAAGAACTCGAGAAAAAAAAACTATCGGAGTACCACCCTGTCCAACACAAATCCCACATGGACTGCTGTGGGTGCGAACCTAAACCTCTGCAGTGAGATGCCGGCGACTAACCGCCTGAGCTATAACACAGCTACGACAAATAATTATTTTCGTTTGTCACTGCGCGTGTATGTGCTTTTTTTTAAAAAATGTGTATGTATTAAATTTTCCACGGTGCAATTGCATTTAGCAATTAACTTCATTATCTCTTCTATTCTGTAATAAATCGTTTCAAAAGGGAAGGTCTTCTATCATTTCAAATTTCCTCCGGGGTAAAAGTCTCCGGTACCTTACAGATAAACGCGCATACCAAAATACAATTGACTATAACTCCAGATGTTCTCAGTTGGGTGCGCCACGAATCAAAACACAGATCAGACGCGTTAAGAACGAAGAATGGGGCTCAACTGAACTTCATCAATAACAAAAGCCAACTCTTCACAATTTCTCTTGTTCTTCGTGTTTCATTCGTGTTTATAACACTAATTGTTACTAAAAGCAACGGTTAGAAACAGCGCATTATCTTTCAGGGAACCGTACAAATTTGCGTTCATTGCGAGGCTTTGTATGCGCTCTTAAAGAACGACGCTTCCATGACCCTCGAGGTCAGAGAAACTTCAGTTGAAAAACGCAGGCATCGGCAAACAATGACGCATCGGGTTTCTTAGATACTTTTCACTGTCTGAGGTAATACTCGTGTGAGATCATTATTTGGTGCTTGGAACGTTTCACAACCTTTGCTGAACGCTAATAAAATATGTAGCCAAGTCATGTCTGATTGTTCTCTTCTCGATGTGGTACTATTGTATGTATGTTAGTAAAAGTTGGCGCAGTTCACCAATAGGCCATGTATTCAATAGAAAGAATACAATGTAATGTTATGTAAAATTACCGTGCTTGAATAATTCTTTAGAAGAGCTATTTAATCCTCCTACAGTCTTCCAGACAAGTCGGCGGTCTTAATGGAAAAATGCAAGAATTAGCATGAGAGGGCCTCAGAGACGTGTTTAAGAAAAAATTTCTGCCCTGCCGGGAATCGAACCCCCGTCGTCCAGCCCGCTACTAGACACTATTCTAACACAAATAACACTTAATCACTCAAATAAAAATTATTCACGAGTACATATGAAAGAAAAATCCTGTATTCTTTAGCGTCAGTGTATAACAGATAATTAAAAATTAAAAAAAAGCTGTCCCACTACACGCCATGCAGGTGTTTGAGAGAGACTGTTTTAACAGTAATTCATTAAATAGATTAATATCATATACACAAAAATATGTTTTGAATTAAATGTTAAGAAAATGTTTAATATTTTAATAATGCTACTGAAGAAACTTAGAGTGCAAAATCTGAGGGCTGTGAATCATCCGTCGTCTTGAAACGGAATTTGGAGTTTGGATTCTAACCTTCATTTCACGTCCGATATTCACCTCTCGTTTTCCAGCTTCACAATCAGCAATAATTTTTAATCTCGTTTCCAGAGCCGTGACCACTCTCGACCTCTTACCTTTCCTAAACAACTGAGCAGAAATTGTCACTGATTTCATCGTAAAAACAAATAAGTAACGAAAAGTAGTCAGTGTACTACTGACTTGCGAAACAACAGGAACGCTGTCTGCGATAACGAAGGGTTTTCTGTCCTTGGCAGAACTTCAACAACGCTAAACAGCCCGTTCAGTGCCTACAGATGTACTCACCCTGATAGGAGTCTGGTATGACTAAAGAAGGACCGACGGTTTTCCACAACTTGGCAGTCTGCAGACTTCTGGCCTGGACCTTGGTGCTCTTGTACTGGCGGAACAGAAGCAGTGGTTCTGCTAGTGGTCCCAAAAGCATCCTCCTCTGCTCCCCATCAGCCTCGCCGTCCCCGCCATCGCCACTGGGAGTCACTACCCTCACAACCCTCGGCAAGGAGTACTTGTCCAAGAACTGACGAGGTGTCAGTCGCTCCAGAGATGACGACGTGGCAGATCTCCTCACGCCATTCTCTTTCTGGTGAGAGGCATGTTCCAGGCTGGACGAATACTTTACTGACAACTGTACTGACGAGTGTTGGTTCGATGGCAACAGCGACTGAAGTCTGCCGCCGGCAGAAGAACTGCTGTTGTTGCTCCTGACACTTCTTGTCGAAATCTCAGAAGACATCTCCGATTGATTTCCTTATAATCTGGTGTTATTAAATAAATACCTTCACAGATATCATGAAAGATCTGCCAGTGTTTACATACACTCAAGACTATTTTGGCTTGTATAATCTGCTGTCACATCTTGTTACACTACATTTCTCATAGTGTCAATTCACTGCACAGGAAAGTACGCTTGGATGAGC